AGAGGATAGTGAGTGGAGTGACAGGCGCAACATTTCAATTGGAAATATTATGCATTTTTTGCACATTTTAAAATCGAAGACAAAAAGACGAACATGCTGTTTTATACAATATAATAAAATGTGACTTCATTTTGCATGAATTAATATGTCAATGTAACATAGAAATCGTACGTACAAACATAAAGACGTTAGCGATGGGAATGTTTGGTTAGGGGATTTTAAATTAAAATTAAAATTTTAATATTTAATGAGTTGCTAGTACAATTTTTTTTTAATAAGAGTCATAAACCCCGCGCACGCTAGCAGGATCTATTATGCGTGGCTCTCCGTCCTATACGGGAAGGACTCCAAGGACTTTTTGTTTAAAATTTTTGACGCATTGAGTGTAGCCACGCCTAAGGGAGCTAATCTGCGAGAATGTGTTCTGGCGTTACTTCGTCCAGCTCGCAAAAGCGACAGACGTTTGCTTCCGAAAGATTCATTTTACTGAGATTATAACGAAGGGAGCAGTGTCCCGTATAGTACCTAGTGAGATTTTTGTGGCCCTCTCGGTCTAAGTTAAGTAGTTTCTTTGAAGCCTCATTTAAAGGACAGATAAATCGTTTGGCTTGTCTCTGTCCGGTGCATTTCATTCAACGCCTTTTGAACATTTTTTGATACGGTGACCATTTGTACCGATTTCGAGAAAATTGTCCCACGGAATATTTTTCTTACATCGGGACGTGTAAGTGTACCGATTGAATCTCGATTTTCAGTGTTTTATGTATTAATTTATAAAGAGTCTCCCTGTACTCTGGCCCAAAAACCATTTTTTAGACAAACGCGGCAGCTCTTTCGTAATCACATAGAACATAGTATGTAAGGGAGCTATAAATATAGTCAGCCTCCTTATTTTCTATGATCATTGGATATGTTTTATTCTGTCAAATTGCTACTCTCGCTATATTGCAATCTACCATTCTTGTATAATTTTTTTAAGGCTTTTATAATTATTTGTTAAGTTTCTTCTTTAATGAAACGATTTAACTCGAATTTAGTGATATTATAAAAAAATAATACTAATTCTATAAAAATATGCATGCTTATGAAAATGACAGTCCTTGGCCCGGTATGAATCTATGTTTACGTGGCTTGCTTCGCCGAAAATTTTTTAAGCGTCTTTTTTCGTAATTTTTTTTTTCATGCGACCTTTTTTGCCATGAAAACACTCGCGCGTCTTAATTCTAGTGTCTAGTGACGATATGTATATATAGTGTGTATACATTTTTGCTATAATTTTTCAAGTTTTTTCTCTTTGTTTAGTTTTAAATAAAAAATTTATGTTCGGAAATCTGGTCACCGTATATACATATGTACTAGCTTAGAGGTTTAAAATATTTTAAAATAAGTACATACATACAATATAATAATAATATTTATAGTTTTACTTACGCCATTCTGTCCGTGGTGAGCAACAATTTGTCAGCAACAATTTGAAAAAAGGAGAATTAAAAATTAGTTAATAAATTAGAAATTTGGATATCTGTATGTATGTATGTGCATATATTTACTACTTATGTACATACATATATGTATAGTTTTTCAAAGTACTCAGTACAAACCGTTCTTGCATTCACATCTGCCTTGTATGTGCCCGCTATTAGTTTAACGACGTCCTGGTTCCCATGTTTGGCAGCCCAATGCAATGCGGTCTAAAATCGAAAAAAGTTATATATTAGTGTTGAATGGTTTTAGTGCGTCCAAAAATAATTAACAAAAAGAAAAGAAACATATAATGTGCAATTATAAACTATGAGCATATAAGTTTTGAATAAGTATAAAAAATAACTAATAACTTGTTGCCATTTATGGGATATTCTACCGGAAATGGGAGATTTTGAGCCAAGACACTTTTTGAGAATGTATACATATGACAAACACGTGGAAACGAAAAAAAATTATCCTACGATGAGCGCATCCTTATTATTATAAAGAGAGTGATTAGAAATTTAATCACATCGTACACACATCTTTTTTTTTTTTAATGCTAACATTCGTTTAATAGATAACGTGTTCTTGTAGCTTATTCCACTGAGAAAAAAGTTCAGTTACATCAACTAAATATGTTTGTCTTAGCACATATATGATTTGTTAATATTTACCTTATTTGCTTATAGTAATCAAATCTTGCGTTTAGAGAAATATATTTAGCTGACTCTTTTCACAGTGTAAGTTTCTGTGATCCCTTGAAGTGAAACTTCTTTAGCGGCGGTTGGTTGGTTGGGAGTAAATTGGCAAATTCAACGGAAATTGCACACGGAAATGGTTGGGGCTGAAACAAGTGCTTCTTGTGTGTATGCACATGGTATTAATTTAACAAAAATTTGGTAATAAAACACTTAGAAAAAGACCAATACAAGATTGAAAGTAAAGGTGAGTACGTACATAGATAAAGAAAAGGATAAAGGCAAAGGTAAAAATAAAAGCAAAAACAAAGATGCGTAAAGATATAGGCAAAATTGAAGGCCAAGGTAAATTTAAACACTTTACTTATATAAGGGCAAAGGTGAAGGGGAATATGTAGCAGAAGAAAATGATAAACATAAAAGGAAAGACAAAGAAGTGAAGTGATGAGGATACCGATAAAAGTAAAGATGAAGATAGGGAAAGAAAGATTAAAATAAAGGTAATTAAAGAGGAGAGGATATAGAGAGAGACACAGAGATTTATCGATTTTGTTATCGATATTTATCGATTTTGTTATCGATATTTATCGATTTTGCTATCGATATTTATCGATTTTGCTATCGATATTTATTGATTTTATTCTCGATATTTATCGATTGTTCTCATTCGAGTAAATTCCTGACAAAAAAAAAATATTACACTCATGTGGTTATTCCAGCGCTGTCCCGGAATTTTTTCTGGAATTCCCACTGCTCATTTGTGAGAAGAGGAAAAACTGGACACGTTGCTGCGAAACTAACGTAAACTCTAAAAACTTATGCCAATACCATGTGAAAATCCCGAAAATCAATATGTATTATTCAAACCCGATTGCTTTTGGAGTAGAATGGACTGATTTTGATTTTGCAATTTCCAATTCTCTTCAGTTTAAGCTAATAACCGTCCATATTTGATGCCATATACAATTTGTTTTACTGCTTCTAACTTAGAATTCTAGGCAATTTTCCCTTCCTCCAGTCTCGGGAGCGCTACTAATATATATTCCTAAAAAAATCATGTGACAAAGTTTTTCTACAGCCTGTTTTTTTTCAATATGCAAGTAATTTGTATCTTACAGCTTGAAACAAAAGCATTCTCAAATATCAACAGGCCGAGCAATGCAGCCAGAAGGTGCAACCAAGTAGCCGTTGCAACATGCGTCGTCCTGTCATCCGAGCGGACAAAGTGTCTCGATGCGTGTTAGTAACAAAAATTACAAGCAGTAAAACAAATCGTCGAGCAAAATAATACGACGTGCCATTAACAGGGACGAAAAATAAATTGCTTTGAAATAGTGAAGCGTCTGCAATAAGCCATTATGCGAGTAGCATAAACGCCAACCAAAAATTCATACACGACAAAGCGTACAGTATTAGCGTATACAATCAAGAAAAAAGCTGAAGCTGAAGACGGAGGCGGAGGAGGATATCTCTCAGTCGCCATGGCCGGCTGTATTTGCTTGCCGACTTTGAAGGCCTTTGAACGCCTCTCGAACAGTATGACTTTACCGATAACAATGGCCGGCTAGCTGCTGGCTGGCTGCTGGCTGGCTGACTGACTGTGGGACTACAGTGATATCGCTACCAACGCATCTGTGCCTTTTTGCCCTAAATGGCCAATCTGCTCCACTTCAGAACACATTTGTTCGGCCATCAATTGAATTGCAACCGATGAGCCGAGGTGGCGGCATTGAATACCAACTGTTGCTGCTTCAGTATTGACCACTCTATCCCGTCCATTGGCAGTCAGTTTAGGAAACAACAGCCACAGCTAAGGCAAGAAGCAACGCCCGCAGCAGAGCCAGCAGCAGTAGCGCAGTAGCAGTAGCAGCATCAGCAAAATAAATAAATTACCCTGCATAAGTGAATTCTTGTTTCAATTATTTTCATGTTAACATAATAATTTAGCAAAATAAAATGGTTCGAGCGAGTTTGTTGTATGCACAACAGTTCATTGGACGCGCCTGAGCATAGGCCAAACTCATCGGCAGGCAGGCGGGCAGGCGGGCGGGCGTACGGCAGTGGGAGAATGCTTTAAGCCTAATGGTGAACTTTCCAAAGAATTGTCTCCGCCACAATGGTCAGCCGCAGCTATGCAAGACGGCATACCACTCCAGCACATTAATACGCCTGTTGCTGCCGGACACTCTGCACGCATTTGGATGTACTGCGGGCGAAGAGTGCGCGGTTAAACGTGGAATTCTTGGGAATTTTCGGTTGAGCGGCGGTAGCTGCATCAGCCAGTATTCGATCGATGGTCGATGTATTGTCTTGATCTCATCGCCACAGTGGCCGCTGTGCTGAGGCATCTAGATCAGCGGTGCAGCACCTGTGGTGGATGACTTTGCTTGGCCAACTGCTGACTCTATCGGCTTCATCTGCTTGTCGTCGGCATTTAATCTCAACCCATTGTCCTAGACATCTTTCAACGCTTAGCGAACAATTGTTTGGTGCTTGCTTTGGTCGGTGAGTTTGATTTTTGCGGGCATTGGCCGCTGTACGCCCTGGTGATGAAGACAAATGCATTTAGGAAAGAAAATAATTTTACATAAATATGCACATAATACATACATACATATGTACATCTCGGATAATAAATTTAAATTTTCCCCTGTATCTTTTATACGATGCTAATATTTATAAAGCTCTGTTTGATTTTAATAAAACATTTAATCGATTTGCGGAGCTTTCGTCATAAACTTATCCATAAAACTCCATTTTTAATGTATCCGTTTTTAAGTATGCGAACGTTTGGATGTGAAGAACCAGCCCTTCGTATTCGCTAAGAAACCCGCGAATCCTGTTTGCGTCCCCCTCAGAGACTATTTGGAATTTCTGGAGTGGCTTAGACCCAATCAAGGTAATTGGAGCCAAAGAGGAGTAGAGTAAGAAACATATTTACATATTCTGGAGCAGTAATTAAAAGGATGCCTGTGTTGTTTTATGACACAGAGGCTTGCGGTTTCCATTGCAGAACTACATAAGTATGTATCTCGATACCTGTTACGCAAAATAGCCGAAAGTTCTTCCCCCCGGCAGTAAATTAGGCCTCAATCACACCCGGAGCTGTATGACATCAATTTGATAGGTCCGCAAAATGACGTTGATTAGGTGCAAAGCGATCAACAAGGCATAGCTCGGTATTAATTTTTAAAGGAACGAGAGCTGAACATAGACGTTGTGACTATCAGGCTATTGAACTCGATTTTTGATGCAACTCTGTTTGACTCCCAGAAGGTAGTTCTCTATCGTTCTAAGCGATGATCAAAAAATCTTTAACCATCATCGAACTCGACTGTTTCGACCATTTCGTGGTTCCGAAACCGCAGGATTGTAATTTGACAGCGGTCAAAATGGACGATCAACAGCTGTCGTAAAGCCTAAGCATAGTTCTTACCTATCATCCTTTTGCTCGTTCCAACGAAAACAACGATGCAGTAAACGCAAGTGTGACCAAAGTTAGGAATCTATCGATTCGTTTAAGTCATTAGAAATTGACACGTCTGGAGTATTCACAACAATGTCGCGTACGTGTCGTATTGTTGTACTTTAAAGTTTAAGCGGCTAAAAATATATTTAGTAGCATTGCAAGATACCATAAATGTCACATTATGAATGTTCACACTGCAGTGTTAAGAAATAGTTAGTTGTGTTTTCAAGCGCACAACGAAAGCCGCCACATGAAAATGAGACCATTCATATCGTAGTAGATATTTACGTCGATCGGGTGCTCGAATAGCAGAATGTGGG